TTTGTGATGCGATCAAGGGTCCGTGTTCTTTGGATATAGGCAGGTTAGGTACCAGATTGACAGTTAGGATTGCAGGCAAGGAGGGTATGTTCTGGATCGTAATTCGGTATTTGCTTATGCGTTTTCCTGAAATCCTTGATGTTAAGTGGTTATGATTGGAAAACTTCAGAGATCTTCAGCTGAAATTCAGGATTCTCTTGGGAAGTTTTGATCCTTATATGGAGGATTATCCTGCGTGTATTATTTCATTCCAGAGTCAGGGATGTTCGTACCTGCTTGAGCCGGTTTGAGTTATGGTTTGGTTTCAACACCAGTGGGTGGTAGTTCGAACCCTAAGTGAGGGAGAACTGGGTATTCTGCTTGTGGGATCATCGATCGGTTCAGGTTGTGGTATTGAGAAGATGGTTTTTAGGGATCTGCGGTGCAAGTATGTGGGATCTCGGTTCAGGGTTTGGTCAAGGAAGGGGTATATAGTAGGTGGTGATCGTATACATGTGTTCAGAAGACACATGAGTTGTCACTCAACAAGAAGTGTGTAATTAAAGAGCTCGTTGCGGCTATTGGTTCCTTTTGGGGGTGCCAATGGATAGATGAGGATGGTTCCCTAGATTAGGTGCCAATGTGTTCTCGATCATTAGTAGTTCCATGTGTCGTCAAAGCGGAGGTTCTTTGGAAGTTTAGACTGTATCAGTTGAAGTTCAATGGATGTGTTAACCTATCATCAAGTCCAATATGATTTATGTTCATTTGGTCTCTTGGTGTGTTTACCCTCCATATTGGTGCAAAATTTTGGTTCATAGCTGGCTCAGGTTTAGGAAGCATTCAGGATCACTATGGAAGCCTTCTCGATCCAGTTGTGTATCGGTAGAATCCGTTCAGTCTCAATCGGGTACGGGATCTAGTTTTGACCGATTATGGGGTTGTCTTCTATTATTGATTAAGGCTTGTCGTTTTAATAGAGCCCTAGTATTTCTTCCCTTTTTGGACGAGGTTATGGGTTCCCCAAGGATATGCATAGCAGTAATTCATTATATGTATTACCAAAAGGGGTGTATGTGGTTTAGATAAAGGGTCAGTTAAGGGTTGTTGTGAGTGTCAGTTGTACATCATAAAGTCTCTATGGAAGGGTGCATTATAAATCCTGTTTGTTCGCAAGCTGTTATTAGGGGTTGGTTACCAAGGTCGGATATCTATTATGGAGTCTCGAATCATGAATTTCATTGTGAATGTCTCGAGTGATTGCTAGGTGGGGGTACACCTGAGTTGATAAGGATTGGAGGTAAATGTGAAAATTCTTGGATTAATCATATTGGCTCATAGGGGCAGTGGTTGGTAATGGCGCATTGGGTAGCCAACGGTTCATTTAAGGTTTGAAGTGCATCTTGTGGACTAGGATTTGGTTGAAATTCGCATTCAATGTGTTTTGGGTACTTCTTTCCGCATGTTTGGTGGTGTTCTCAGTCAAAGCCAAGGGGTGGGTTCAATGAAAGGATGAATATCAATTCTGGAATATGGGTCTGAAGTTTAGATCTGATGGGTTCCCAGTCTAAGGAATCATATTGCTTGAGATGATTCGGTCTTATAGTTAGGGAGTTGTAGAATTTGTTGGCGTTGCACATGTTTCTCCGCATCGGTTATATAGATGAGACTCACATTGGGAGTCGTCATGATATTTTTGAATCATATGTTTTCATCAGCAAGTTATGGTTAATGAATCTGTGTGTTGGGTTATCAGTTGGAGGGTTCAGAGTCAAAAGGATGTTTTCAGTTCTATTGGAAGAAAGAGACTCTTGTGATTGTGGTTCGGATTAATTCCACCTGTGTGGAGGTTAGGCAAGTTTTGGGGCTTCAAAATTATAGAAGTAATGTTTTGGTTCGTCAGTTAAGGGATCGGTATTTGTTCTCAGTTCGGAGTGTGTGGTTTCCAGGTGCGTGGTAAGGAGTGATTTCGAGGAAGAAATCTAATTTAAGTAGGGGAGAGTTGTAACGCCCTGTTCTCAATTGATTCCTAATTCGAGGTTGTGGCCTGAAGATCGGTTACCATAAGGCTTAGGGCCTTAGGGAAGAAGAGAATTAGCCTTTTTGGATATGGGAATTATAGATTAGTTGATCTGAGAGTTCGGTTGTGTTTCAGAACCCAAGGGTATAATCGTAATTTAACAGTTCGGGCCTTTATGAATTTTGAGTTTTTGTTCGGGAAGTTTTAAGGCAAGGGTGGGTTGATAGAAGTGTAAGGCTTCTCGTCACCTTTCCATGGATATAAAGTTCGTTGGAAACAGACTTAGGACGAAGGAGTTATGGCCAAATGAAGTTCAAGTGTGATGGAGCTTGGTCGAGTACGTGTGGCGTACTCACCAAGTACGCATGGCGTAGTGGATTAAAGGATCGCAGGTTCTTCTTAAGTATGTCGGGCGTACTAAGGGGTATGCAGGGCGTACTCCCTTCAGATGGAAACCCTAGTTTTTAGGGTCTTGACCCTATTTAAGCCTCATTTGTTCTTGATCCTTATCCCTTATTAGCCTCCAAGCCTCCTAAACCCTAATATTCGACCCTTAGTCGCCATCTTGGAGTTCTTAATCTTTTGTGAGGAATCTTTGAGTGTTTTGTGAATTTTGAAGAGATTGAAGGTTGTTGAGCGATCATCACTTGGAGTGGGGCTTGTAGATCCATAAGTTTCTCATCTTTTGCAATCTATTGAAGGTAAAAGCTCTCACCTTGGCATATCTTTGGTTAGATCTTGTTTGGGGTAGTTTATGGCACATTTTAGTCCCTTTGGTTTGTCTTTATGAGGCTGAGATTGCCCTAAGAGTTTGGACACTAGATCTAGACATTTTAGGTGTCCCAAATGCATAAAAATGTGATCTTGATAGTTGATATCAACTCATGCATGTGTTTTAGCCTCTTTGATGAAGTTGTAAAGTAAGAACTTGGATTTGGGACCCATTGAGCCATGCAAAAGCTCAAAGTTAACAACTTTATGGATTAAGGAGTGATTTGGATCTAGATCTGAGCATTGGACGTTTTGGCTAAAGGGATTAAGACCTTTTCTAAGAGGAATGTGGGCAGGGTGAGTACGCGAGGCGTACCTCCTACTACGCTGCGCGTACTGAGTCAAGTGGGTATATGCTGAGCGTACTAACTGAGTACGCGGGGCGTGCTCAGTCTGTTGGGTTTTCTTGATGCATTGAATTTTTGACCTTGGACTATTGACCAGGAGTTGACTAGGGTTGACCATTGGATATTATATGGGCCTTTTAGGATATTAGGCCCTCTCGGTTAGGCCCATGATGGGTTTTGGGCCCAATTTGGCTACTTGAGCCTTATTGGACCTTGTGGTGTCATTTAAGGGATTCGGGCTTATGATGCTATTGGATTGGTCTTTGGAGTTTGGCAAAGTAAGGAAAGGGGTAAAATGGACTTTTACCCTGAAGGCTTGGTCACTGGAATAGAATTCATGTTTGGTCGGGAATCAATTATTGATGGAATATTATTTGATGATGCCAGTGCAAGGTTTTCCGGTAGCAGCAGTTCGAGTGCTCGGTTATCTTGGTTTGAGGTGAGTTTTCCTCACTGTACTTTCGGATCGAAAGTACCAAGGCCGACCCACTGGATTGTTATACTGGTTTATCGTATGTTGGTATGCGGTAGTGATCTGTTAGATCTGTATCCTGATATATAGGATGATGTTATGCTTAGTGATTTGTAAGATCTGCCTGATTGTCTGGTGACTGGTTATATGTTTATTTGTTGCATATGTTGACGTAGTGTAGTTGGGCTGAGACTGTACCGCTTTGTGCTGCCAGTCAACAAACCCGGTAATGTTTATATCGATATGTTGTTATGTAATGGTATGCGTGGATATGTGTTTGGTTATTGGGTTGAGGCGGACTAGCTGGGACTGAAGGCTAAGAGACCCAGGGCGTCCCGGATAGACCGCAAGCCTGAGGGGTGTACCAGTCAGGTCGAAGGCCCGAAGAACGTTCCAGATAGGCTGAAGGCCCAATGAGGCGTACCGGTCATGCTGAAGGTTCTGTGAGCGTACCAGATAGACTGTAGGCTGATGAGACGTACCGGTCAGGCTGAAGGCTCTGTGAACATACCAGATAGACTGTAGGCTGGTGGGGCGTTCCAGTCAGGCTGGAGGCTCTGTTTGCATGTTGTTTGTTATTATGTTTATGTGGTGAAATTTTGGAGAGACTCACTAAGCTTTGTGCTTACAGTTTCAGTTTATTGTTTCAGGTTATTCAGATGGTTGTGGCAAGGCGAAAACGTGACCGTACACTTCTTTGGTTTTACAAGTGATTGGATATTGGGAGACTGATTTTAAATCATGTTTTAAAAACAATGATTTTGTAAACAATTTTATTAGTAAATGAGTTGTTTTGAAAAATTTAAATTTTTAAAATTTTTTGGGATGTTATTTTTCCAAATCGCTCAATAGTCGGTCATTTTGGATCATTCGTTCGTATTGACCGCTCATTTTTGCGAATATCCTAATTTTAAACTGTTTTGTAGTAAATCTTAAACTAAAATAATGATAAGATTATTTTGCAATGAATTGGGCAATTAGCGAGAAATCAATTTAATCTATCCGTACTCCAAGCTGGGCTTATAAGAATCATTTACGAGTTTTGAGTTTCAAATAATGTAGCCCATTCGTAATAAGCCTTACCTTACTTTACCTAGGTCGAATTTGCTGCTGGGCTAAATAATTTTGTATTGAAATTTCAGAATTCAGAGCACCCAAAGAAACTGTTCCTGTTTTCATTGTTCATTGCTGTGCCAATCCTCTTAGTCGACACTCGACTCGACAGAATCGAGACTGTAATTTGCGTTTATCTCCATCACCTCTGTTGCCGGAGCAGTTGTTATTCTCAGGTTAGATGAATCGTCGTCTTACCTTTTTCTGTCACTCCATACTTATAAACACTTCAAAACCCACACGAAAATTAGTTTCCATAAACCCTAGAACAAATGGGTTCTCGTTATTTAGAGCATTTATGTACACTTCAACACAATACAACAACAACAACAACAACAATTATAGGAGAGTTAATACCAATACAGACCCAAATGATCCTTCCACTCTCATGAAAGAAGACGGCGTGTCAGTTTGTTCGGAATTATGGATTGAGAGTTTTAGAAACCCTAATCAAACAATCACTAATCTGACTAACTACTTAAGGAGATTTGAGCTATGGGTTCTAGCCTATCAAAAAGTTTGTGCTGATGAAATGGGTGCTTACATGCCTAGAAGTTCAGTACAAAGATCAGCACTCGAAGATCTTCTAGCTCTTAGAAATGCTGTTCTTGATAACAGATTCAGATGGGGTGCTAGGTTAGAGTTTTTCATAAAATCCCCCAAAGATAAAACCGAATACGAATCATTATCCAAACGAAAAATTAGGGCTATTTTAACTACTACACAACCAAGCCCATTTCAAGATAGGATTGTTCAAGAGGTCTTGTTCATGATCTTGGAGCCTGTTTTTGAAGCTCGATTTTCAGAAAAATCTTACGCATTTAGACCTGGAAGAACTGCACATACTGCATTGAGGGTTATTAGGAGGAGTTTTGCAGGGTATTTATGGTATATAAAGGGGGATTTAAGTACAATTTTAGATGGGTTAAAAGTTGGGATGGTGATAAGTGCTTTAATGAGGGATGTGAGAGATAAAATGGTGATTGATTTGATAAAATCCGCCATGACTACACCAGTAATCACAAGCCCACCTGTAGAAAAGAAGAAAACAAAACGAAAATATCAAAAAAAGAAAGTCTTAGCAGAAGACGAACCCAAACCCGACCCATATTGGTTAGAATCTTTTTTCGGGTTTGCCCCTGAAGAAGCTGAAAAGGTTCCAACTTGGGGGCATTGTGGTATTTTAAGTCCACTTTTAGCTAACATTTGTTTAGATGAATTGGATCGTTGGATGGAGGGAAAAATTCAAGAATTTTATCGCCCTTCAAAAAGTGATGTCATATGGAATAGCCCTGAAGGTGAAGTTGACCAAGGTAACACATCATGGCCCGAATTTGTCCCCACTAGTGGGCCCGATAAGACCCGAAAAATCGATTACATTCGTTTTGGAGGCCATTTCTTGATTGGAGTTAGGGGCCCACGAGCCGATGCAGCCATTTTAAGAAAACAATTAATCGAATTTTGTGATCAGAAATACATGTTAAAGCTCGATAACGAAAGTCTCCCAATTGAACATATAACAAAAGGGATAATGTTTCTTGATCATGTTTTATGTAGAAGAGTTGTATACCCCACTTTAAGGTACACTGCAACAGGTGGAAAAATCATAAGTGAAAAGGGAGTTGGGACTTTGTTATCAGTCACAGCAAGTTTAAAACAATGTATTAAACAGTTCAGAAAATTAGGGTTTTTAAAAGGGGACAGAGATCCGGACCCACAGCCATGTTTTAGAATGTTCCATGCTACACAAGCGCATACAAATGCACAAATGAACAAGCTTTTGTCTACAATGGTGGAATGGTATAGATTTGCTGATAATCGAAAAAAGATTGTGAATTTTTGTTCTTATATAATTCGAGGGTCTCTTGCGAAACTTTATGCTGCAAAATATAAACTTCGTTCACGTGCAAAAGTTTATAAAATTGGTGATAGGACACTTAGGCGTCCATTAAAGGAGAAAAAAGGGCAATCACCGGAATATAATAATTTATTAAGAATGGGGCTTGCTGAAAGTATTGAAGGGTTGCAGTATACACGAATGTCTTTGGTGCCTGAAACTGATTATAGTCCTTTTCCTGTTGGATGGAAGCCTGATCATGAAAAGGCGTTGATTGAATATATAAAGTTGGATGATCCAAAAACTTTGGAACAAAATCGTACGAGTTTGATAGAAGAAGGGCTTATTTCGCCACAAGATTATATTTCTATGCTTGTTTGGAATTATAAGCGAAGTGCTGCCATTAACTCGGAGTTGTTGGTGGGGTCGGGTGTTGAAAGTGGTGAGAAAAGAGTAGAAGAAGATGAGGAAGAAAATGAAGAACAGTTGCATGTTAGGAATATGTGAGAGAGAGGTAATTCATGTAATGTGAATTTTTCTATAGATTTAATAATTAATATTGACATGGGACTTGTGCTTTTGGTTATTGTTATGTTTAATTGTAACATAATGTTGTAAGGTATGTGATTTACTTGGAGAAAAAGATTGCTATAAGGGGAAAGAAGTGGGGACTAATGTATTCATTCTTCATGAGTTGGTAATTCACACAAATGACTATTTTGCTCCTTTATCTTATTCATCATCTTCATGAAAATGATGGTCAGACATACTAATTGCAGTGTTTTGATTACAGAAGATGATGATGCCAAACTTAAACCATCGGTTTCGTGGGCATGTTGGTCTTATTGCAACGGTTTTGTTGGGGCCCGTGTGTTGTTGACTTTAGAAAGTCAAAAAGGGTTGAGATCGTGGTGACCCTGATGATGCAAATGAGCCTCTGCTTGAAGTTGAAGGTGGTGTTGTTTTGGAAGTGATCATGATTCATAAGATCCTAGGACCCTAGAAGCCAAGGCATAGCCTTAAAATTTGTCCTTTCTACTCGAAACTCAAGCCTTAAATAAATTTGTGCATTTATTTATGATATTTACGATTTAAATGTTTGTTGATACGGAAGTTGTGTAATTTTCATCAATTAGTACAACTTGTATTTTGCATAGAAACAAGGGTTATTTCCATAAAAGACCCTATATTTTGACTTTTTTTCTTTTTAGACCTAAATTTTTTTTCTTTTTCGAAAAAGACCCAACTTTTATGTGTTACTTGTTATTTCAGACCCTAGCAGGTCACCAATAGGTAAATTAGGTATTTTTGTTTCATAAAAGACCCTATATTTTGTAGTTGTTTCCATTTTAGACCTAAAATGTTTTTTTTTTCAAAATAAACTCAATTTTAAAATTGGTTATAATCTTCAAGACCAAATATATAAGGTACTTATTGATTACACCGAAAAAGAAAGTATACATGTATACACTAAAAAATGTTATCTAATCTATTATATTTTGAGCGAATATAACCTAAAAGAAATGCAAAATTTTATTTTTGTCTAAAAGATATAATTAAATTTTATCTTGGATATATATTATATTATTAAACTTGATATTTTGTTTATAGAAAATGTTATTATTACCGCTAATAAAAAGTTTGATGTTAATTTGATATTTTTTGGTAACATGGATAATACATGGCTAAGAAGAATCTTTTAGCATAATAACAATTTTTTTTATTTGTAGAAAAAAAATACCATATCATTTAACAAACTATTTTTTGGGAATGAAACCATTTGAGCATAAGTTGAAAATCCAAATAACAAGAATGATACCGCACACTTAAATATCAAAATACAATGGTTGACATTATTAACAATGGTTGGAATGTGGTGAATGAGCAAAACGGACAAAACTATGAATTTTGTTGTAGAGAAAAGAAAATTGAATAGTTGGCCTACTACCTCATTTTATTAATCTATCTTATGTATACATTGTGTTTAGATCAATGCATGGTGTTTGTATATCACTGTTATTGATTCTTAAGGATAATCATAATAATTACCAAAATAAAATTTAGGATTTTATTTTAATTTGAAATGATATAATCACGTTTTTATGCATGAACGAAGTTAAGCTTCATTAAATCGGTATAGTTAAGTACCTTATACAACTAGTGTTAAAGGTTGTAACAAATTTTAAAATTGAGTATATTTTGAAATAAAAAAAAAACATTTTACGTTTAAACTGGAAAAAAGTACAAAATTTAGGGTTTTTTATGAAATGAAAATACTTAATTTCCCTTTTGGTAACCTGCTAGGGTCTAAAATAACAAGTAATAGGTAAAAGTTGGGTCTTTTTCGAAAAAGAAAAAAGTTTTAGGTCTAAAAAGAAAAAAAATCAAAATATAGGGTCTTTTATGGAAATAACCCTAGAAACAAAACAAACATTATTATTCACATTTTTTTTGGAAATTGAACTTCCCTAACGAGGGTTTCCGGGCCAGCTTTCGCGCACCGACTAATCCCCCGCTGCAAACATGAAGCTTTGTCTCATGCCCTGGAGTCAGTGCAGGCGAACCTCCATTGCCACAAGGGCTGAGTGGTGCCAGGATTTGAACATGAGTCAATAGATTATCCACCATATCTTTCACATGTCTTACCAAGTCACCATCACATTCTCGTTCATTAAAGATGAAATGGTTATGTTATTATGATTTTTTGTAGTATGAGTTGCATTCTTGTAGGCGCTAATACTTCATTTGCATCTCTAGTCAAATTCCTATCGCACCTCTAGTATTTTATAATTAAATTGTAATAAATAAAATATAAAACATAACAAAAATAGATGATGATTTTATAATAATTTATATAGAGAAAATTACAAATTTAGTCAAAAATGTTAATTATTTTATGGAAAATAGAAAAAAAAAAAAAAAAAAAACCAAAATTGCAAATTTAGCCATCAGGTTCGCAGATGGGTTTAGCAAACCCATCTGCGAACCTAAGCCTAGTCAACTATAAAAAACGTAATTTTTTTTGTTCATTTTCACTCTTTTTTTATTGGAAAACTCTCATCGTGAAACGATTTTCTTACCGCATCTGTAATTATGGACGATTTCATGAACAATAGGTTTTAAACAAATTTTCCAAAAAAATAATATGACAATTTTTTGCAAAAATTTATATATAATAATGTTGTTACGTAGTCAAACCATATCAATTTCATAGTCAAAATAAAAAAATAAAAAAAAAATTACAAAAAAACAAACATTCGCAGTTAAAAAGGAGAGGAAATCGTAGATGGACTTAGTCAATCTGCGATTTTAAGGTGGAAAAGATGGTATTGATATAGTGAAAAAAGAAAAAAAAATAAAATCATCTGCGAATGTACAAGTGGCTAAAACATGTATGTGTTTTAGTCATTTGTACGTTCGTAGATGGTTTGACAAAATCGTAGATGGGTTTGATCCATCTGCGATTTTGGTGGTTAAAAATGTAATTTTGGTTTTTTTTTTTGTTATTTTCCATGAAGCAATTAACATTTTTGATTAAATTTAGAATTTTCTCATTTTAGGGATGTCAAAAACCCTCGCGGGACCCCGTTCCCGCGGGACCCCGATACCGTACGGGAGTAATTTTTAAAAAAATTCGGGAGCGGGAGCGGGGGCGAGATTAACCCCCGGTTATTTTCGGGACCGGGGTCGGGAGTGAGTATTTCCGTCCCGTACTCCCGCGGGGGCCCCGTTATATTTATATAAAAAATATATTTATTTAATATAAAATAGAAATGGGTTATGGGGGAAACTGATTTTAATATTAGGGCTTCACAATTCACAAATCACCGATGCCATACGCTTTATTCGGTCTTCCCTTCCTCTTCCCAAAGACCTAAAGTCCAACTCCAAACATTGAACGACGACTGTAAGGACTCAATCGACGATCGACTAGCAGGCAGTAGAAATCGACCATCGACTCAATCGACGACGACTGGAGAGTGGATATTGACGGCGTCGACGAGTCAGTCAATTACTCAATCAGCGATTTCTCCACCAAAAACGCGACCGGCGATTGTGACTTCACGATTTCGATTTCTCGCCTCCCAGTTGACTTCTCCACCAGAAATCAGAGGTAAGTTATTTAAAATCTGAATTTAAGGTTTGCAGTTTGCTGTTTCTCGCCTCTCAATTTCTGTATCTCAATGTCGAGTCTTCACAGTTCGACTACTAGTCTGCGACTACTCCACCTAAGACGCGACTGTGAGTCTGTGACTTCAAGATTTCTGTTTCTCGCATCCCAGTCGACTTCTCCACCAGAAATCGGAAATAAGTAATATAGTCATGTGTATTTTGACTTTTTGTGGTTTTTTGTTGACTGTTGTTGACTGCTAGTTTGTTGTTCACTATATTTCATGATATACTCATGTTTATATATGTGCCATGTCCCCATACTGCTGAGAAACTAACTAATGTGTTGATCGATAGTTTGTTGGACTGGAACATAGATAGAAAACTATCAACTTTAACTGTTGATAATTATTCAACAAATAATTGCATGATAGATTTGATGGTAGACAAACTTCCTTTTGATAGCTTGATTTTGGGTAGAAGCTTGTTTCATATGCGATGTGCTGCGCATATTTTGAATTTAATCGTGAGAAGTGGGTTGGATGTTTTTGGACATGGGATTGAGAAAGTGCGTAACAGTTGTAGTTTTTGGACAGCTACACCAAAAAGACTTGATACATTTCAAAAAAATGCAAAGTTTGAGAATGTTTCTTGTGAAAAAAACCTAGTTGTTGACTGTAAAACACAATGGAATTCTACGTATTTAATGCTTTCCACGGCTTTGAAATACAAGAAGGTGTTTTATCGGTTACAACAACGTGAGCCCCAATATAAGAGTGCGCCTGATGAGAAAGAGTGGGCTTTGGCAAGTGAGCTTTGTGATAGACTAAAAATCTTCTATAATGTCACATAATTATTTTCGGGAACAAAATATCCAACAACCAACATTTTTTTTCCCCAAAATATGTGAAATAAAGATTGCTCTAAAGAAATGGGATACATCTAGTTTCATTGAAATAAGCGAAATGTCCGAAAATATGATTACAAAGTTTGATGAGTATTGGAAAGAAAGTCACGGGGTGCTGGCTATGGCGACGATATTGGATCCAAGGTTTAAGATGAAGCTCCTAGAGTATTTTTTCTCATTATCTATGGAGTAGATAATGCAAAAGATGAAATTCAGAAAGTGCGTCAAATTTGTGAAGATATATATATATATATATATATATATATATATATATATATATATATATATATATATATATATATATATATATATATGCGATATGAGTCAAGCGTTATGAGTCAAGCAAGTAATGATGATATTACTAGTAAGCCCACTTCTAGTCAAGATGCAGCTCCTGGAAGTGACATGGACTCATTAGATGCTTTCTTTTCATGGAATTCTTCTGCTAATGAAGTTTTTGTAAAAAATGAATTAGAATTTTCATGGAATTCTTCTGCTAATGAAGTTTTTGTAAAAAATGAATTAGAAAGGTACTTAGAGGAAGGCACTTTACCCCGGATTCATGAGTTTGATGTGTTAGGTTGGTGGAAGTTAAATGGGGTTAAGTATCATACATTGTGTTTGATTGCAAAAGACATATTAGCCATTCTTATCTTCACTGTTGCTTCAGAATCTTCTTTTTCTATAAGTGGTAGAATCGTTGGTCCACATAGGAGTAGACTTCTTCCGTCTACAATTGAAGCTATCATATGCACTCAAAATTGGCTATGGGCAGGTAAAAAAGGTATGTATGAATTTGCTTGAACCATTATTTGTTTTTTTCATTTTAATATATTTTTCTTATTACCTTTATTTTTTTTCTTGGTTAGGTTGTGTTATTGATGGTGATGATTTATATTCCGATGAAGACGACGAGGGAATTGAGGTAAAATTATTAAATTTGTCGTTTTGTATTGAATAAACTAAGATAACAATTTATTTTATTATTATTTTTGTTATTTATTTAGGGAGGATATTCAAATGTCAATGAATGAAGGGTTGAAGGAAATTAATGGATATTGAAGATGTAGGACATGTTTGTATTTTATATTTGTAATTTTGGATTTGTCATATTTTGCATTTGTAATATTGGATTTATCTTTGTAAGATTGTTGGAATTGGTGTTTTGTAATGTTGGATTCATAATGTTGGATTTTTAATTTTTTTTGTTTCTAAAAGATTAGGTTTTAAGCTTTTTAAGTTATTAAAAATAGTCTTTTTAGTCTAAAACAAAGCAATTTTTTACCAAAAAAAAGTTCCATTTTTAAGCCCATAGATCGGGGGGACCGGGGGAACGGGGACGATGGAGGTAACCGGGAGCGGGACCGGGGGCTGTTTAAACGGGGGAACCGGGGGCGGGAGCAACAAGTGATTTCGGGAGCGGGGCAGCTATTTCCGCTCCCGTTTGGCCCGTTGGCATCCCTATCTCATTTATATATGGTGCATAAGGTTTGGACCGGTCCAAATAGCAACCGAACACTCTAGAACCCTAGCGATCAAAACCATACAACAACAAGTAACTCACCCTCGTTCTCTTTCACTTAAAACCCTCTACACTCGCTCTTTCTCTTTCTCTTTCTAGAAAGCCGGAGCTTAATCTTATCCATGGCGTCCTCCAGTCTCCTTACACTGGCTAAACCCTTTCCTTCTTTCTCCGCAGACCTTCATTCTCCTTCTGTCTCTACTAAAGCCACATCTTTAGGTATTCTCAATTTCCTTAATTCCTTCTCTTATTAGCTTCATTTTTTATTCTTATTTTGAATTTATCGTGCAATTTTAATAGGTCTACGAAGAAATTCCTTCAAGGTTAATGCAATTGCAACCAAATACGAGCCTACAAAGGTATTTATCTTTGATTCTTAATATGATTACTTCATCTTTTGAATTTTTCTAACCTAACATTCGATTTAATGTAATTGAGCAACTTCTGGATGTTTTAGTTTCAATTAATACTCTACATTTTAGCCTACTTATAAATTTCAACTTTATAATGCACCTAATCTGTCATTCAACAAGGAGATGTACTCAATTACGATAATGTTGTTAAATAAGGCGATGTGCTGTTTATTCATTGCGTTTTAATTTCTTCGTGTTCATAGGTTAAGCCACAAGCTGATAGAGTGCTAATTCGTCTGGAAGAACTACCTGAGGTACTTTATTGTGTCTCTGTCTTCAAATGCATATCCATGTATTTTGATTTGTCCCTTTGGCAATGTTTCTTAGGGATAAATCTTATATCATCCGATCTTATCTTTCAATTCATGGGGTTGTTTTTCTAAAGTATTACCATAATCTCTGAATTCATGCTTTACCTTTATCTTATGATCAGAAATCAGCTGGTGGAGTTTTGTTGCCTAAATCAGCTGTCAAGTTTGAACGTTATCTTATGGGAGAGGTGAGCAGTAATAACTTCCATCTTTTTATTCAAGAAAGCAAGCTTATGGATTGTTTCAACCTTCAATTTCACTTCTCTTTTTGTCATAATGACATTTATATCTCTATAATTGTTGAATAATCTCTTCCCCTGTTCCAGATTCTTGCAGTTGGTTCTGAGGTAGCAGACTTGGAGCCAGGGAAAAAGGTACATTCATATTACAGAATTAGCAATGTACTTTGTGTTGTTGGTCAATGTTCATTGTTTTGACTTTATGCTTTACATTGTTTGTAGGTTCTTTTCTCTGACATAAACGCATATGAGGTAATAATCATATGTTGCATTTTGAACCATTTTGCAATCTTCTTTCATGCAAGAAAAATTGTAATTATGATTTTATGATTTTAACAGGTGGATCTTGGAGCAGTCGGAAGACACTGTTTCTGCAAAGAGGCTGACTTGTTGGCTGTGGTCGAGTAGTAGACAAACACCATTTTATTTTGATGAGATTTTTATCGTAATTGAATAATTTGATTGTTGTTTATGAATTGATACAGTTTTGTCATCACAAGCATAACACATTATGTTTATGATGTTATGATGTTAAGTTCAGTAGTTGTTCCAAAATGAAAACGAAACTCAAATCTATTTGACATTTGACATGTTCTGAAATGAATTGTAGATAATTTAAAACTAAACAAAATCGAACCCACAAAACGAATGGCAATAGAAATGACATTCGCCTTTAAAATTCGCAAAGTTTATTAAAACGAATGTTTAGACTTAAAAACACAACGGAAACAGATTTTGGAAATAACAAGTTATGTATTTTTTCCTGTTTAAAAAGAAAAAACTATTACCAAGATAGAATATATTTGTAACTTTATATTAATGAAAATCCAACAAGGGCAAATGACATAAAGCCCTTCATTTTTTCAAAAAGTTGTGGGTTTTACCATTGAATGAGTTTTTGGGTTAATAAAGCCGGATACTTTCATTAAATGGTGCATTTATTATCGAGTTTGAGTCGGTGAACAAGTTGTAACCGCTAACCCTTTAGAGACGTGGCATACGGCATATAACCGACGAGTTGGCAAACGGCGTTAATGAGATAACGTTTGTTTACTTGGAGAAGCGAACTCATCACCTTACCATCACCTTTCAGCACGTAAACATACATAAACGTCCGTATAATTGATCTCATTCATCTCAAATCAAGGGTTTTTTTTGAAGGAGATTAGGGTTCAATTACGGGGTAAAAGTGTTCTAAAAGGTGCAATTTGAAGTTATCGGAGAGTCGATTTCATAGGGTAAGTTGTCACAGTTCATGTTTAATCTTTTTGTTCTTGAGAGGTAAACGTTAATGTGTTTGTGGCTTTTCAGGTTCTTGTGATGGATTGGGATTCAGAAGACGAAGGCAACACATACCCATTTCTGGTTTACGCGAGCCTTTCTCTGGTCTTAATGAGATGGATTTTGAGCTTCATGGAATATACATGGATCTTGAACTAGAGCTAGAGTTCGTTACTCCACTAGTGTAACACTCCCAAAAATCACAATAAATTTAGAATTTTTAAAACCAACCATGCATCAAAATTGTTTACAAACAAATCATTGTTTCAAAAGCATTATTTCAAATAAGAGTTTCTCAAGACTCGAAAACATAAAATCTGGAAGCTGTGTACGATCACGCCTTCGCCTTCTCACGATCCTCAGAAATACCTGAAACCACAAACTAAAACTGTAAGTCAAAGCTTAGTGAGTTCCCCCAAAGTACCAACACACCACATAACAAGCAAACATACAAACATGAGCAGCCAGCCTCACTGGACCGCCTCGTAGGGCCTACAACCTATCCGGACCGCTCTACGGACCGCCAACCTGACTGGACCGCCTCGCAGGGCCTACATCCTATCTGGTCGTCCCCGGGTGTCTTGGCCTACATCACAAAGCAGAACCGCCTCAACCCAAACCAACATGTCGACATATGCAACAAACAAACATGAACACAAAGCCGACAAATACAGATAATCATACGGATCTACTGATCATAAGTACAATAATAGGTCTATACGACAAATATCATCTATATACACTAATATTAATTTAGGTTTTAATTTATCATTATTGTTTTAATTTTATTATTTTTATTATTATTATTTTTATTTTGGGTTATCTACAGAAAAGTCCCAATATTTTGAAAAAATCATATAATCTATTATTTGCTGTTCAAATATAAAAAAAGAGTTTTTCGTTAATTTAGGCAAAAAATCAAAATATTGGGACTTTTCTGTTAAAAAAAAAACTTTAGGACTTTATTGAAACTTTTGAAAAAAGTTTGGGACTTCTCTGTAAATAACCATTTTTATTTCTTTATAATTTGTGAAGAAGGAAATGGAGATGCGCATTTCATGTTTTAAACTCATATGTCTTCAATTTTGGAAAAATCTTCCTTGTTCCGATTTTACAATAAGGATGTTGCAAATATGAATGATTCTTGATTGAGATTAATATCTATAAGCAAATATTTATCATTTTTTAAGAGTGTAAAAGAACTCAATGAGTAAAAATTAAATGCTAAAGATAATTGATTTTTTAGACCTAACTTATTATAACCGTTTATCCACAACGGAATCCCATTTGCACATATATAGCTTCCATAACTAAAATAGCTTCCATTCTGCCCTAAACATTGCATATGACGAAATAGTTACAATTTTATCCTTTTACGATAACCTTTGCGTATACATATTGAAGTAGGCATTTACAAAATAATATGAACAAAATGATTAATATAATTAACTACCCAAACTTTTCCTTTTCTTTTAACCACCTTTTCTTTAGGTTAAACAGGGTGAACAAAAAAACCCTAAAAAAACCCTAAAAATCATAAAAATGCATAAAAAAGAATACCTAAAGATCACAAAACTTTTTTTTGACTTTATTTATGAAAAAATCGCAGGTTTTTAAAGAAATTCGCTGAAAAAAATTTTGAATTTTTTTTTTTATAAAAAAAAAAGAAAAAAGAATTGATTTTTTATTTTTTTTATAACAATATGTAACCCTCACTTTCTATGTTATTATTGGTAAAACTTGTAATTAAGGTCCCGTTTGATAGTTGCAGACTGAGAAAATGCTGACTGGGAAAGGTCTGTCTGGGTAAGAAATCCTGACTGAGTAAGAAATCCTGTTGTTTGATTGTACATCTGACTAAATGTGCTGAGTGATGAAAAATGATCATTTTACCATGTTGGTATATATAGTGATAGATGAAGTTGCTGAATAATTATAAAAACATACATATTGTCATACAAAATGTAAGTTACACACAAATAAAAAATATCATACAAAATGTAAATTAAACATAAATCATTTAATATCCAAATAAAAACATAATGAAATTTAAAATAACATAATAATTTAATGTAAAGTAGGTGAAAGTAGTTGATTTGCAATCTGATCACGCAAAACACGCATATATTCAACGGCTTCTGGACCCCATTCTATGCCTTGTATGTTTTCTCTATCAATTCTTCCACATTGGACGTCAGATTTCATAGCTTATACACAGAAAAAAAAAATCTGATTTCATAACAATAGCTTATCTAAATAGAAGATTTCAGATTTTATGGATTATACGCAAAAATAAGTTCTGATTTCATAGCTTATTCATAAACAAATCCAGATTTCATAAAATTAAAGCAATACACAAAAAATTATGATTTTATAACAATAGCACATCTAAACACAAGATTTCATAAACAAATTCAGATTTCATAAAATTAGAGCAATACACAAAAAAAATTCTGATTTTATAACAATAGCACATATAAACACAAGATTTCAGATTTTAAAACTTACAGGTCACAAGAAGAAGTAGAAATTAGAGGGTAGGATTCAAATTTCATAACAATAGCACATCTAATCATAGCTTATACATATTTCATAAAATTAGAGCAAAAAATGATTCAAATCTCATAACAATAGAGCAAAAACAATTCTGATTTTAGAGCTTATAAACAAAGAACTTCTGATTTTAAAGGTTATGTACAAACGATTTTGATTGTAGAACTTACCTGCCGGAGAAGACGAAGATCCAACTGAAGGAAGGAGGAGGAGATCCGATGGGAGATAGCAACAATTGGGAGGGAGCTATTCGATGGAGGCGATGGAGGAGTCGTCTGATTTTGGACGCTGTCTCTTTTAGGTCACGAGAAGAATTTTAGAGGGCAGGATGGTCTTTTGGGCGAGTTAGCAACTTCTTCACATCTGAGCGAGTCATGCATTTGGGCCAGACAATCTGACCGAGACAGCTCGTATCAAACACGAATGTCTGACCGAGTAAGCTGAAACATCTGACCCAAACCGAGTCAGATGGGTATCAAACAGGCCCTAAGTTGATATTATGGGTAAATGGATGCAAGTATGTTTTTATTTTAGATAAATAACAAAGTATATTGTTCAAGTTTCAGGTTAATTACATATTGTTAAAAACAAATCGAGTACATTTTCTATATATTGTGGATGCATAATTACATATGTATTGCTTTTCTAGCTTCTTGATAGTAGTTTTTAATAATATCTTTATTCAAAAAAAATATTACATATGTATTGCTATATATTAAGTGTAAAAACAAAATACATTACGTATATTAGTAGCAAGAATAATGTGTTGCTTGTAATTTTCCCTTTTTACATCAAGCAAAAATTATACTAATTAATTTTACCGAGAAGATCAAACTCTTAGGTAGTACTAAATAATGATGTCGTAGATGAGTAATCGTTGTGTCACACGTCTTGTAAATCTTGAGACATAATCAGAGGGACGTAAGTAACCTGCCCACAATTGTCTTTTATGGTTAATTTCACATGCATTGTTTGAATGTACACAAAAAAAAGATTTTATTCAAATAATAATTTGTATGCCCTTTTGAGTTAAATCTGTAGATACATGCAGATTGCATGTGTAAAAGTTACAAACTCCAACTATATAACATGACACATTATAATTATGGATTAATCTTCGATAAAAAAAAGTTTAGACAAATGCACACACAACTCCAAACCCTTCTTCATCTCTACTTAAGCAATTCCACTTCTTCGAAAAAAGGGAAACATTTGTTGTAAGAATGATTTATCCTTCTTCCCTTCTGTCTTTCTTCATATTTTCTCCCCTCTGTCTTTCAATCAATGCAAAAACCCTAATCCATGACACTTGTGAAATTTGCTCTCAACAAGATCCATTTGTGAACTACAGATTCTGCACCACCTCTCTCCAAGCAGCCTCTGGGAGCCGTCATGCTGACATCATAGAGCTTGGAAAGATCTCGATCAAACTAGCATATGATAACATGACTGACACTCAGTCTTACATCAAAAAGTTGCTGAAAAATGATATCGAGAAGATCAGTTCTTATATGAAGTTGCGTTTGGATGACTGTCATGATCTTTACAAAGACTCTATCTCTGATATTAAAGATGCCACGAAATATTATAATAATAAGCGTTACTATGAGGCAAGTTTACATATGAGCTCGGTTATGGATGCTACTACCACTTGTGAAGATGGATTCAAGGAGAAACGTATGGGTTTGTCGCCATTGACAAAAAGAAATAACGCTACTTTTGAATTGGCTGCAATTGGGCTTTCGATTGTACGTATACTTCAAAGTGATGCGAACTAATCTTAAAGAAAAATAGAATCCATAGAATGATGGATTAAATTCTGTAAACTCTGCTCTTTGATTATTATTATTATTATTATTATTATTATTATTATTATTATTATTATATGCTTAGTTACATGCATAGTTCGTAAGGAATTCGAGCATTCTGAGAAAAAAAAAATCTTTATATTATTAGAATGATTTCCTCCATAAATGATATTTTCTATTAATTATGTATATATACAAAATATAAGGAGGTTACTGGAGGTATAATGGATCTATATACATCATATCTATACACCAACCCCCTACCACTTATTTTTAATCGGTAGGAATAGTTTGAACAATTCAAACTGAACAAAAATTGTAAAAGAGAGATGATAGAAGCGCTTTGGTACTTAGAGTAATTAGAAGGTACATGAATAACTCGAACTCATCCCAAAAAAACCTTATCGATCGCACACCAAATAAATGTCGATCTCAATTTTTGTTGCACCGGTTTAGAATACATGTAAATGGAATTCAAATCACCATAAGGGCGGAAGGAGCCGTGATCGGTTGAAGAAATTTGGGGGAGGTACCAGTGGTAACACATAAATCCACCATTTTGCGGGTTGAGTAAGCTTCTCTACCTTTTCAGCCTATGTATTGGTTACTTGTATGTTATGCTTGTATACTTGTATGTTATATAGTTAGGCATGTTTTTAATTAGTTTGTGAACTAGTTTTGTATGTTTTTAATATTTTGTGCGTTTGTTTTGTATGATTTTAGTACTTGTACATTATCATTTCCCATTAGCTACCCTTTGGGCTTTATAAAATGAATGGAGTTGTCAACATTTAATTCCTGCTTGAAGATCCACATAGATGGAACAATATCGAAAACCGGGGACTATAAATGAGAACCCAAGTATCAGTTTTGATAAGAACATTAAACTCTTCATTCATAGGCTGAAGTCAGTTAGGTGCTGTTTGTTTTTTCTGAGGCAAAATGTCTGCAGTCTGCGGACCACATCTGTAGGCCTCTGCAGTAGAAGAGGTGGACCAAACGTCTGCAGTCTGAAAAAAGAAGACTGTTTGTTTTTTTAACATCTGCGGGCTACTAAAATAAACTGATTTTTTTAAACTTCAAAGTGATTTTTTAATATTTTTATGACTTTGTTATAAATAATTAACGAATCTAGATCAACTTTTATGTATTATTGTATAAAAAATAAAAATAAAAATGGTATGAATTAACGTATATATTTGATAAAAATCAACAACTTTGGTTGCAAAGTTATAACTAAACATTATAATTAGTGACCAAAGAATTTGATATATAAATGGATGGAAATAAACTTCGATTTTTTCAATTAAATCCATTAACGTACCATAAAAAAATTTTCTCGAAAAATTGACAATACTGTATTAAATAGTGTTTTACAAAATTTGGCAAAAAATATAAGAATATATTATAATTTTTTTTTCATATTTATATAAACAACTTCAACGACTATTATTGTAATAAATCTTTATTTATAAATTTGTCAAAAATATCATGTTTGTATCGTCGAACGTTTTTTTTTAAGTTTTGTTGTTTTTTTTTTTCAAATTGTTTATCATTAATAAAGTTGGAAAAAATATAAATTAAAAAAAAAACTAAAAAAAAATAAAGATATATATGTTTTTTTAGGCTAGAAGATGTCTGAAGATGTTAGAAGACTCTGGTCCACATCTGCGCCAAGAAGAGGACGCGCAGACATTTTTAGGTCTGCAGTCTTCAAAAATACAAACAGTCTGCGAAGGCTAATGTCTGCGCGTGGTCTGCGCGGCGCAGACAGAAGAGGTCACGCAAATCTGCAAACAAAAAACAAACACTACCTTAGGGTCCTTTAAAGCCTTTAAATATGAGTGGAGAATCAAGGAGAGAACGGTCATTTATAGTTTAGGTGAAGGAGTGTTTAACATGGGTTAGCATCAAGTGAGTCGATGGTGGTTCGATGTATTTAGCGTCAATAACAGTTACATTGAGCCGTAGGTTTGTTAGGTATGACGAGGTCGACATGGAAAAGGGGTCCTTGGCTGTGGGGTCGTATAATTGTGGGTCTGTGGGGTTGGTGTCAATGCAGTACAAGTTGTAAGGGACAACATGGTTGGGTTGTAGAGTGATGATTGTCCAAAACCATCATATAATTTCTATTTGCCCTAGTATTGTTTAAAAAATAACAGTAATAATGGCAAACAAAACAGCATAACTCAATTTTACTAAATAAATAAAATAACCAAAATGGTCAAGATTTTATTCAATGCATAAAAGTTAAAAGAAAAAAAGGAGGGGTTGAAAACAATCAAATTAAACTAAAATACACTCAAGGAGATAATAAATCCTAAATAGTTCGATTATTGATTTAGTATCAAAAGACATATTTAGACGTGTAGTCATGAATTGTTACAAAGCAATCATTGTCATAGAATTCCTAGATTGGTCGTGGTTATCAACAAGTTATGTCAATCTATTTTATTAGACACTCGATTAAAATCAAGTTCTTTAACCAAGCTACCCGTTTATCTAATTAAAATAATCTTTTCAATTTAAACTAACTCGATACAAAATTATCAAACGAGCAATCTATAATTAGGTGCAAACATACCAAATAAAATAAATCCTCTCATAAGTTCGGAGAATTTACATTGTACAAACATGATTTTATAACACAAGGCTCACTTTTATTCTAATCTTAAGTGTACTATTTACTACTTGGACCAATTAAATGATTAATTGATTAGTCATTCGTCATTAAAACTCTAATCGGATTGATCAGGCCTAACTAAAACTGTAACAACATTATAAAATCATAAATCACTTAAATATGAATGTATTAAATCTATATCACAATCTCACACACCGATCTAAAACAAATCTAAGATTATTTTGATGCTAAGAACCTAAAAAGCTTCCAAGTTATGGTTTCTATCTTTGCTCCTGTTGTGATGCGTGATTATATATTAATAATAAAAGGACGTCCCTTCAAAAGTCAACACAACTTTTATATCTCTATCCCATGCTCTCCACTATCCCCCCTGGATGGGCTCATGTTGCTGATTGTTTTGGTTGCCAAAAAGGGTTATTTTGGGGCTGCTGCTTCTTTATTCTTGTTTTGTTTGCTGAAATGCACCGCTATTATTCTAGTTTTTGGCTGCTAAATATCACAAAACTGGGCAGCTTTTATGGCAATTTTTTATAGCTGCAACTGGCTCGTAAATAGCAGCTACTTGTCAACATTTTGGGCTCCTTTTAGAACTTAAGGTCACCATATTCTCCATTTTGGGAATTATTTGGTTTGGAACCAAAAAACCCGAAAATTAAATCGAACCGAAACCGATTTCAAACTAAAGCATATTCAAAATCGAAGCAAAATTTGAATTTTGTTTTGGTCACATGAAGTTTAGACCAAACTGAACTGAAAAAACGAATTCAACTAATTAACTAATTAAAATATATTTCAAATTTTATATATTAAATAAAAATGTTAAATAATTAATAATTAATATAAAATAAAAGACATTTTAACTCTTTTAGCAATTTGGTTTCCTCAGTTTCCAAACCGAACCAACCCGAATTGGAATTCGGTTTCCGGTTTGGTCTAGAGGGATTTGAATTTGGTTTGGTTCAATCTTCAATTTGGAGAAGAAAAAATCAAACTGAGGAAACCGATTCGAGGAAACTGACAAAGCCATAAACCGAACAGATTTTCTCCCCTAATTGTAGATGCAAAAATTCTCTTTTGATTATATATGAGTATTTCTCGTTCATTTGTTATCCAAATGCATCCGGTTATCATCCATTGCTCTACTTGTTCATCTTTTTTTTTCGTCCCGTTATTTACTTCTTCTTTTAATCTCATTTTTCAATTGTCATGCCTACATTACATCAAATTGTCGACAAACACAAAAACGCACTGAATCTACCAAAGTATGTGTGAATCCCATAATATCGTGAAATGCATAAATTACATGATAAATACATAAAAAAATGCGATAAAATGAGATACAAAACGTGACCAAAAAAATCAAAAAATACACCCTAACATAGAGAAGGTAGGCGACTCAATGAAGTGAAAATATAATTTTCTTTAACTATTGATATAAAAATTATCATTAAATTAATCTAATTTAAAAAATATATATTAAAGATTAAAATAAATAAATAAAAAGTGTAGAGAAAGAAGACTATCAAGTGAAAGGGAAAGCATCGCATTGACCCCACATTGAGGGAAGAAGAAAGAAGGGAGGAAGATTATAAAACTCGAAGCTTACAAGCTTGAAACTTGAAAGGAGCAATGGAGATCTGTTCTAAGACCGTTTTCATCATGTTTGAGATCAAATTTGTCTTATATAAAAGTTTACACTCCACACCACCTAACTTATATTTATCATAGTTTTAGTCCCCACTAAAACTCATGTTAATTCAAATTACACTAAATTGCTAGGGACACTAAAATCACCAAAAACATGGAACAACTACTGGTTAGAAGAAACCACTTACAGATGAATAACCATAACAAAAACAAAAGCATCCAAAATAACCTTTTTAAAACCAAAATGTATTCAAAGATTAAAAGTTCCATAATAACATGTTCAATCAACCCTTCCCTACTTAATCTGAAATGCAAAGGAAGGAATATAAAGATTGCTAAATCATGTTCATGAAAGTATGATGGTGATGATGAAGTCACAAATGCTTCCAATTATTTTCCTCCCACTTCGACTTATACAGAAAAAACCAAACATCACAAAGACAAGATAGGCCAAAAAACAGAAGATTTAGTTTCAGGGTTTTAGCTAGCCATGGGGTGGTTATATACATACTCGATTGCAAGTGCACAAGAATCAATCTTATCAGCTTCTTTGTCTGGGATCTCCAATTTGAATTCCTCTTCAATCGCCATTATCAACTCCACATTATCCAAGCTGTCCAATCCCAAATCCTTCTGGAAATGAACTTCAGGGGTCACCTGCACATTATTACAGATCACAACCTTTTAATGAATTCCTTCAAAGAACCATTTCTAGAGGTATCCAAATTGGAACTCGGAAAAAATATTTACTATATTCAGCTCAATAATTAACCTAACAACAGGTTTGTATTTTGTAGCCGAATCTAGCAGATTCATTTCAATATTTAACATAATCATATTTCTGTATTAAATTTACAAAATGAACAATTGCAACATCGTTTTTTGAATACCAACGATGCCACATTTGACTAAATATGTCAGAGCGTACCGATGATCCAAAGCAATCATTTCCACGATCATACAAAATTAAAATTAGGTCAAAGTAAAATTAAACATAAATAATCAGCTCAGCAATTAAGATTTAAGCCTAAAAGTTAAATTAGAATCAAATTGAGTAAAATCACAGTGACAATACCTTAGAAGGATCGACTTTAGGGAAACTCTTGACGATGTCAAGGATTCTATCAATGACTTGACTTTTTTCGAGATGATCGTCGTGAGATGACATTGAGCGAACGGAAGTGTTCTCGTGGATCCATAAAGGACTCAGCAGCTTCGATCCGTTAGCCACCACCGGGATTCGTACATGACCTAGAATTGCTGCTCTCAAAGCCGACGCCATTCTCGCACCTTCTTCTCTGTCCTCTCTCTGTGCCTGTAAAAAAGTTGGATTTAAACTTTAAAGCATCCCAGATAGTGAAGCCCATTGGGTTTATTCTGCAATCCAAAGCCCAATTTTATCATACTTGTACTTTGTGTAATAAATGCTGTACATTTGTTTTAACGACTTAATTCGTTAGAAACAGAATATGAATCAAATTTTGTATATTTAGAAATGATGAGTCACCCAAAAATAATACAGTTTTCACTTTTTCTTCCCACTTTCATTACAACGTTTGCTTCTTCTCTCTTATCGCTCTCTGTCTCTCAAACTTCATCGAATTTTCAACCATGACAGGTATTACTCTCTCTGTATTTCGATTTTATATGTTATCACAATTTATGGATCTTCATTCTATATCAAACGATGAATCTTCTGCATTGTATATTGTAATGGATATTTGTTTGGATTCAAATCCACAATCAACAAACTGAACGAAGATTATTGCCCTTGTGTATGATTGTTAGCAGAAACAATGAACGTTGTATTCTTCTCTCACTCTTCTAGAACTAACGGATCTCTAGGAATTTGTTTTCTTTCACACTTATTGGATTTGACGTGGGGTGTTAAAAAAATTCCCTTTGTCATCCAGATCGATTTAGGGCATTAATTTTACGCGGGAATTTCAATTTCATTATAATTGGAAGTGGATTGAAGTTAAATTTGTTTCCTCAATCAAAGATCATGTCGGTATCAAGTTATTGATTTCATAATTTGAAAAGCTAAAGTTTAACTTTGACGAGTCAAATAGGCTCTATTTTACATGTCTCAAATTATTATGGATTGTGTATTTGTTCAATTGTAGCAAATCAATAACAGATTCAACATCAAGTTAGCATTTGATCTGTACTAGCTTGAAATCAAAACTCCAAACGAAGTTCTTCATCCGGAACAGATGCAATAATATATGATTTTTTTCAAATGTGCAATCTGTTCTAGTTTCTAAGTTTGTGATTTTTTATTGAAACAGATAACGAAGATCCGAAGGCAGCGAAAGATGAACGCAAATCAATCCTTCCACCAATCACCGAGATCAGCCGGTGGCAATGGTGGTGTTTGGTGTTCCTTAACATATCTTTCCTCCTAATCGGTCAAGGTACCGCCATTCTCCTCCTAAGATTTTACTATGAACACGGTGGGCGCAGTAAATGGACTGCAACACTTGCTCAAAACGCTGGATTCCCAATCCTTTTCATACCCTTCATTCTTTTTCCCAAAATGAAAGAACCCTCGATTAATTCCCCTCTCATCGTAGTCTTATCAGTCTACTTTGGCCTCGGACTCCTAATCGCCGGTGATCATTTACTGTATTCGAATACTTATCGGCCTCAACTTACTCGCTAATCTGCGCGACTAAATTAGCTTTCAGCGCTGTTTTTTCGATTCTCATAAATTCCCAGAAATTCACAATCTTGATCATGAATTCAATCGTTGTTCTTTTGTTATCCGCTTGTCTTGTTGGCGTCAGCGACTATTCGCCGAGCCCTCCTGACGTAAATCAGACTAAATACACTCTCGGTTTCATCTCCACCATTGCCGCTTCAGCTCTATACGCGCTTTTACTTTCTGTCACTCAACTCTCGTTCCAAAAATTCATCAAAAAGGAAACTTTCGCAGTTGTTCTTGAGCTCCAGATTCATACGTCAATCGTTGCTTCTTGTGTTTCGCTCGTCGGTCTGTTTGCTAGCGGCGAGTGGCGGTTGTTGCGCAGCGAAATTGCGAGTTTTCATGAAGGGAGTTTGAGTTACGCCATGACGTTGATCTGGACTGCTGTTGCTTGGCAGATTTGTTCAGTTGGTGTGGTTGGTTTGATTTTTATCGTGTCGTCGTTGTTTTCGAATGTGATTAGTACTCTTTCCTTGTCTCTTTCGCCTTTGGCTGCTGCCATTGTTTATGATTATACCATGAATGGCGCTAAAACTATTGCTGTTCTTTTGGGGATTTGGGGGTTTTTTACTTATGTTTATCAGCATTGTCTTGATGAGTTCGAGTTCAAGGTTAAGAAGAAACCTGTTATTCGTAAATGCAGTCAATGTGCTTGTTGATTTTTGTTTTCATGTTTAGATTTTTACTGAAAGTTTTGAGATTACGTTTATATTTTAGGTTTTGTTGTCAATTGGGTTATCATTATAGAAACACATTTTGTATAGGGTTTATTTATGATTCATTCTTTTACCCGAATAAGTTGTAAAAAGACTTATCTGATGTATTTGAGTACACAAATTCCTTTATTTCTTCATCAATACAAATGTAAAATCGGTTGTTTAATATTTTACGAATAATATATCAATTTTTAGCTTCATATAAACACATAAAACTGTACAATTTACTTCAAGACACAATTGCAACTAATCCTTGCATCCATTTAAATTTCAAATAAAAAGAATGTATAGATAAACAGCATCAAAATATCATCACATTTGACCAAGTATTCTGGTGGTCAACGCCTCACGCCTCTAGAGGCTCCTCCATAACTGTATTTTTTTTCATCCAAGAATCACCGGAAAACATAAATTTGTTAGATTTTAATCAGAGTTATAAACATAAATATCAAATGCAAGAAATAGCAACCTACTTTCATTTCTTCTTATTACAACATTATAAAAATCAACCCAATTACAGCAATATCTACCAAATGGGTAGATTTTCCAAAGTACATTGCTATTTCTTGCATAAATATACATATGAGAGAGAGAGAGAGAGAGAGAGAGGGACCTTTTGTTTTTGCAGGTTGAGATTTATCAGCAACAATCTCAGGTGCTTTTGTTGGAACATCAGGTAGATCCAACTCATCTTCATCTTTTGTAGAAGATGACTCAGCAACAGGAGCTTCTGGCAAATCTTGAATTGTCATCTATAATCACAAGTGAAAAAATTGTAGTTAATCGAGGGCATTTAAGACATTTGCCAAATAGATATAAGTTCAACTACATAAATAGAATGAAAACTATACCTGAGCTTCCAAGTTATCAAACTCTGCTAAAATATCCTCTTCATCCTCAGCTGACAACTTCTCTCCCAAAATCGCATTAATTTCCTAACCACAATCCCAAGTGTCAAAAAGTTGTTTATAAAATTTCATTTTAGTTTTCTTTTTTATTTATAAAAAAGGAATGAAAAACTCACATCTTGGTATGCTTTGGCTTCAGCTGTATCATCCATGAGTTTTTGAACATCATCTAAATTAATTTCACCTTGGATTGCTTTCATTGCGTTATTTCCTGCTTTTAAACTCTCAAAAACAGCCTTCTGTTTGCTTGCTAGTTCAATATCTGCCAACTAAAAATGGAAATTTTAAATAATATGAATGTTTATGGGAATATATATTAAAAAAAAATGAGTTAAGTACTTACTTGTTGTTCAACATTAATAAGCCATGTATCCACTTGTTTGAGTAAATCTTCTTGTACTTTCTTCTTCCTTAAGGCTAACAAAGCTCTTTCTTTCTTCTTTTCCCGAAGTAAATCTTTTGCTGCTTGTTTTTCAGCTTCAATCACTTTCTCAAGCTATAAGAATTAGCATCCGAAATGCCAGTTTAATACTAAGATGAGACCATTTTACCCTTGTCTAGACTCTAGAGTAAATCAAATAGTCGCTACTGAGTACTTGATTTAAAAAATTCAGTTGGAAACATTTCTTCAAGATACCCAACAGGTAAACTTTGGAAAACTGTATTAATGTTGGTTCATCTTCTTTCATATACATCAAGCAGAAAATTCTCATTTCTCATGTTGGTTAAACTCTTGTCATACATATGCTTCATCAATAAATATCATGCAAGCTAAATTTATAAACTATCATAGATCCCATAAATATCCTCTTATTATACACAAATATCAACTAAATGGAAGAATAGAAACAGCTTTTACATATTACCCACTACCATTAGCTTTCTTCTCTATTCATCATTGAACACTAAGTCTCTAACAAAAAAACTGATAACTTAATAATCCCCTTTCAGCTATCTATCTACTTAGGGCTATGCTTCAAACACCTATGCACAAACTATTAAGAACAAGACACATGAACATATATTAAAGTTCATGGAACTGAATTCCCTGATCAATGTGAATGTGGGGGCTTGAACCCTTGATCGAAGTTTTCTAATCTATCACATATCCTATTCTAAAGAATCGTTTACACTAAATTTGATTTGAATGAACCGAAATTAAAATACCTGTTGCTGATATTGGGCAAGCTTACGCCTCTGGGTTTTCAGAGAAAGAATTGCTCGATCAACTTCAGTGATCTTCGGTTTCTTTACAAATACATTCCCCATGAGACGTAACTCGACCAGAATCTCAAACCTTAAATAAGAAAAACGGTTGCTTGGCGATATTTTAGGGATTTGGATCTCTATCTAGGATACACCGATAAGCTGTCGCTCTATGGGTCAGAGTATCAGTATCGGTGACGTAACTTGCACCGAATATATACAAAGTGGTAGATTTCGAGATTAGGGTTTTCCGATTAGCGATTGATGTTGTTTGATTTAAAACAGATGAAATTCTGGATACACAAGCCAAGATTTTGGGTTTTTAGAATCACTTACGAAGAAACTAAGGATTTTGAACGTAAAATGGGTTTTTTGCTAAGGATTTGAACTGAAACTTGCTTCCATGAAATTTATGGATCCGAAGTTCTTCAAGAAGTTATCAACATAGACCCTTTCCTTCGATTACCAGACAGACATCAGGGGTGTAAGACAAAGGACTTTTTTTAGAGTTAACTTCACAAAGCATAGTGTTTTTTAATAACGGGAGTGAATATTTTTTTTTTTCATTTTTTTTTAATATTGATAAAAATCATGGTTGTGAAAAAGAAATATGACTCGTTAAGGTAATAACTTTTCGATTTGTTCATTTTTTTTGTACACATCTAGTTAACAAATTTATTGGAAGTGTTCATATATAACCATTATGACCTACTATAACAGGTTACATCAGGCTACAGCAGGTCATAATGGTTATATGTGAACACTTTCAACAAGTTCGTTACTTTATAAAAAAATAGTTATCCAAATATGAACAAAACGAAAAGTAAGAGTAAATTAAACGAATGATCCTTGTGGTTTGGGGGAATTTATACGTTTGGTCCTTAATTTATTATTTAAACTCGGATGGTTCCTACTGTTTATTTTTGTTGCGTGTTTGGTCCCTGTATTACCTAAAAAGACTATTGTGCCCTTATTAATTTATTTTTTTAATTAATTTTCTTATTTATGTATTTATTTTTTACATATTTAAAAAAAATAGACCCCACATATTTGTATCTTCTCACTGTAAACCTGAAACCACATTTAAGAAATTTAATCTGGGTCCCACCGGTCACCATCTTATCTCTCATCCTCCTCAACTTTTATTTCTTTTCCACTTTAGTGACATCGACCTCTTCATCATCATTCTTTTTTTGGTCCTTCAACTCTGGCGAACCAACACCATAACTTATTGTCTCTTCATCTTTAATGGGTTGTGTTGTTGATTCGTCGGGGTTAAAGGACCGAAAAAAGAAGAGATTGTGAAGACGTCGATGTCACTAAAGATGGAAAATAAATAGAAGTTGAGGAGGATGAGAGATGGGATGGTGAGGAGATACAGATATGTGGGGTCTATTAATTTTTTTTAGATATATAAAAAACAAATACATAAATAAGAAAATTAATTAAAAAAATAAATTAAGAAGGGCATAATAGTCTTTTTAGGTAAGACAGGGACCAAGCGGGCAACAAAAATAAACAATAGGGATCATCCAAGTTAAAAAAATAAATTAGGGACCAAACACACAAATTCCCCCAAACCTCAGGAACCATTCGTGTAATTTACTCTTACTTTTCGTTTTGTTCATATTTGGGTATGACATCAAAAGTGTATGGCAAAAACTATAAGACGTGACACCATGAATGCTCCGTCTTCTCAAAAACTTGTAGTGTACCTGTCTACTGATTCCCTAAGAATACAAGTGATTTTGAAAGTGTATCAACATTTAGGTTGGTGAGTACATAAGCATATTTGTATTTGAAATCCGGCTGTTGTTCTTTGAAAATGTAAGTATGTTCTCCCAGAAAATCCTATATTTTCTGTTGTAAATGAATTGTAGTCTTAATACCATAAGGCCAAAATATGTAAATGTTGTTGTACCAAATAGTATAATATCATAGTTTCATTATTAAATAAAACTAAGTGAAAATGATTGTTTCTCTGAAATGTAAGTTTCTCTGTACTGGAAAATAGTATACTGTATGTATATTTGAATGAAAACACTGTAAATGTAAGTGTTTGGATTCCAGCAGCTGTAATGTAAAATACTGAATTGTAGTTCTATTATTTAATAAAAACTACTTGAAGTTGGTTATGTATTCATACCCTAATCGTATTGTTCAATACCAAATTGTGAGTTATTATAACCATGCTTGATGACCTAAGATGGCCTGAAACGACGTTCTTCAGGCATCAGAATAGTTATGATATTTGTCACCCCAGGCCTGCCGGCCTAACTGTAGCTAACAGTTAAGGTGCGGGATTGTCAGTCCCGTATAGATCTATACACAAATTCACGCTCTCCCTCCAGGAGACTCTGGTTATAATTTCAGGGCTTGGTTGGTACTTAGGTAAGTACTTGAAGTGTGTCTCACAAAGCTATACTAACGATTACGTGTAGAATAAATGAAAATCACTTTGTAATGAATCACTTTGTAATGAATAACTATATGTATGTTTCATAAACTATATCTATTATAGTTTATATGTTTGTTTGAATTGTATCTCTGAATTTAGTAACAATGTTGTAAGTGTTACATAAACTATACATATTATAGTTTATAAGTATGTTCTTGTATTGTTTCTTGTATTAGTAGAGTAGTATGTGTGTTCCATAAACTATACCTATTATAGTTTATAAGTATGTTCCGTTTGTAACGAAAATATTTCTGAAAATTCTCCTTTGCTCAGCATGTTACAAAGGTTTAAAGTTTTATACTCATATATATATATATATATATATATATATATATATATATATATATATATATATATATATATATATATATATATGGCATATATAATTGAAATTAAAAAGACAGTCGGACAAGTGAATTTACCCTAAGCCCACAACCAAACAAGGAACATGAGTTAAAGCGAAAACACCAGTCCTAAGCCTGTTGAATCTCATTTATATATATATATATATATATATATATATATATATATATATATATATATATAAATATATATGTGTGTGTGTGTGTTTTGGTAAAAAAAAAAACAATAGTTGAAACAGTTGAAATAATTTAGAATAGCTTGAAATAGTTTAAAATCGTTTGAAATCGTTTGGATGTCAACACAATATTCCTTGTGTTTTACTTGTATCCCCCCCCCCTATAAATCATTGAAAAATAGTGAAAACGTAGGGGTATGACTCACCTCGAATGTGTGTTCTCGTTTGGATCCAAAGCGATATCGATGATTCTCGGGTTTAAGCCCGTGTGCGTAGTCGTGTCCTAATAATAATTATACACGATATCGTATTTAAATTAATAAGATATTAATTTAAATAATAAATAATAATTTAAAGTGTTAGACAACACTTAATTATGTAAGAAATACTTACAAAAAGCCTTAGGAATTATTTGGAGGTATTCTAGGCGTTTTCGGTGTGCTTGGGTGTTTTCGGTGTTCTTGGGTGAAAACTAGAAGATTTGAAGATTGTTCTTGGTGTTCTTGGTGTTCTTGGTGTTCTTGGTGAAATTATTAAGATCTGGGTAAAAATCCCTTGAAGATATGAAGGTTCTGTATGAGTTTTGAGAGCAAAATGGGAGTATTTTCGGCCTAAAAGTTGAGAAATGAATTGTGTTTTCGGCTAAACACTTATATATAAAGGGTGTTTTCGGTCCTTAATGGGCCTCAAGTAAGTGTTTTCGGTCCTACATGATGGGCCTTAAAGTGTTTTCGGTCTTAAAGTCAACAAAGAAGAAGGGTTTTCGGTTTTTGGTCAAAAAGGAAAGGGATTTCGGTATTGCTTTATTCCAAAGAGGGTTTTCGGTTTTGCTTTATTCCCAAGGGAGGGTTTTCGGTTTTGCTTTTGGGATTAGATTCCCAAAACCGAAATCTACATATATATATATATATATATATATATATATATATATATATATATATATATATAAATTATGATTTTAAGTTAAGTATTGGGCCTTTGAATGAACTAGTGTAACCTTTATTGACTTATACTAGCTTACTTAACATGGTTTTCCATATATACTTACATGTAAGTTAAATAAGCATGCACTATAGGCTTTCAAAGTTCTATTGTCTCAAGTTATTTTGTGAATTCACTTATACTTGGTTAAGATTTAGGCTTTTATTTGAACATGTTTGACTTACATTAACTTGAAATAACGGATTGTTACATTATCCCCCCATTAGAGGGAATTTCGTCCCGAAATTCTTTCTATAGAGAGTACTCATGGACTAGGGAAAAGACGTGGGTACTTTTGTTTCATCTGATCTTCTCGCTCCTAAGTGAATTTAGGTCATCGCCTGGCATTCCAGCGAACCTTCACTATTGGTATGCGACTTTGTTTCGTTCGTTTGACTTCCCTATCCATGATTTCTACTGGTTCTTCCACGCACTGCAGAATCTCGTTTATCTCGATTTCATTGAGTGGAATCACAAGAGTCTCATCAGATAGACATTTCTTTAGGTTTGACACGTGGAAGACAGGGTGTACGTTATTAAGTTCTTGTGGTAGACGGAGTTTGTAAGCTACTGGTCCGATTCTAGCAAGGATCTCGAACGGCCCAATGTACCTTGGATTTAGTTTTCCACGCTTTCCAAAACGTATCATGCCCTTCCAGGGTGAGACCTTCAACAGAACACGGTCACCAACCTGGAATTCCAAGGGTTTTCGTCTCTTGTCTGCGTAACACTTTTGTCTGTCTGTAGAAGCTTTCAGTCGTTCTCGGATTTGGACGATCTTTTTTGTGGTTCTCGAATGATCTCCGGGCCAGTGAGAATGCTGCCAGGGACTTGCCTTTAGCTAGCTGCGTGTCACCCACTTCAGCCCAGCACAGAGGGGATCTGCACTTACGGCTATAGAGGGCTTCGAACGGGGCAGCCTTGATGCTAATGTGATAGCTATTGTTGTAAGAAAACTCGACAAGTGACAAGTGGGTATCCCATGCCTTGCCAAAGTCGATCACACATGCTCTCAGCATGTCTTCTAAGGTTTGAATAGTTCTCTCACTCTGCCCGTCGGTTTGTGGGTGGTAGGTTGTGCTCATGTCCAGCCTAGTTCCCAGAGATTTTTGTAGTGATTGCCAGAACCGAGAGGTGAATCTACTATCTCTATCAGAGATAATTGATATTGGAACCTCATGCAGCCGTACTATTTCTCTAATGTAAGTTCTGGTCAATTTCTCCATCTTGTCTGTTTCCTTTATTGGTAGGAAGTAAGCGGATTTGGTTAATCTATCGACGATTACCCAAATGGTGTCATGACCATCCTTGGTTTTGGGCAACTTGGTTATGAAATCCATTGTAATCCGCTCACACTTCCACTCAGGTATCTCTGGTTGTTTTAGTAAACCTGAGGGCTTCTGGTATTCCACCTTGACCTTGGCGCAAGTTAGGCACTTACCCATATAGGTAGCAATTTATGCTTTCATGTTCGGCCACCAATAGAGTTTCTCAAGATCCAGATACATCTTATCTGAACCTGGATGAACGAAATATCGATTCTTGTGGGCTTCATT